TGGTTATAGCTAGAGTACAAGTCTATTAGGGAGTAAATGCTCCTTCCGACGAAATATTCGACCAATAGATTCGCGTTCGGTAAGCTACCCGCATCGCGAGCCGTTACCGAATTCAACTTTTGCAAGTTTTATATCCAGCGCAGGCCTCTACTCGGCTTCCAAAAATAAAACTAGTGATTGGCATAAGCACCATTCGCTGACTCTGCAACGTTGGAGGCGATCTTCTGGTTTATGTACTTCATTACCTCGTCTTCTTCCTTCTGAGCATATTTTGTGGGTCTGTCATTCCAAGGTGTGTGAGGAACGGTCCAGATCTTGACCATCTTGATCATGTCAACGTCCAGTCGTCCCCTTTCCTCATCATTAAAGGAAAAGGCACCACTGTACTTTTGACATAATTCACATATGAAGTCCTCCTCAACTGGCAGAAGGAAGTCATCGGCTCCTATCTTCATTATTTTGAACCTCACTGGGGTAATTCTTCCTCCTTTTAATGCAACCTCTCTTAATCTTTTAATTATCTTTCTTTCCTTTTCTAATGCCTCATTGTAGTCTGTTTCTATCAGGACTACCACCGAATTTTTCTTAACGCCCTTGCGCTTATACTTCCTCTTGGATCCGATGGCTATTTTCCTAAAAAAGGCCTAGTTGCAGAGAAGGTGAGCTGCATCGTGCCAACTTTTGCCGCCCTCACAACATCCTTAAATCCTTCCATCTCTCTGTTATTCCACTTTCTTTTAGCTTTGCTCGTACTTTCTCAATCAGCTTGTCAGATTCTCTATGCTTAAGGGAGTTAACATGTTGCTGATGACGAGGATGGTGCCTATCACTTATCACAAAAGCCTGTTCTTGACCAGTGATAAGATCCTGGAGAGAGAGTCAGGCCGCCCCATCATGGCCCAAGGATCTCGGTCTGCACAAGCCTCCATCCTATGTAGAAAAGGGGTTCCTAGGATGCAATCATGGTCCAAGTTAGGAACCACAAACCCTAGGATCTCGTTCTGCAAAGTCCTAATTCGGATAGGCATATCATCAATGAATCCCTCCAAAGGTAGGAATCCGGCTATATTGGAGAGTTGGTGATTGGCTTTCCTATTTATTCCAAGCCCACATGATCTCATCATGGTTGAGGACATAAACACCATCTCGGCCCCGGAGTCCACTAGGGCACTAACTTTCACGTCATTTACGGAGATATTCAAGTATCTGCACGACATGTTACCAAACCTCATCTTGGTACCAGGCGGGGCTCTTTCCACATGCGTAGGGAAAAGTCTTAGGCTATTGATTTCTACCTTTCGCCTCTCAACCATCTTTTTTAGCTCTTCCCTAAACTTTGGCACCAGGGCTACCGCCTCTTTCCAGGATACGGTGATCTCGGTTTCTTCAAGCAGTTTCTTTACTAATTCATCTATTGAGACACCCTCCTCAACCTCGGACCTCAAGACCACTTTCCTCTTTTTCCCGGCAGCTTCCTTTCCTTTTCCTTCCTTCACTAGGTCCTTGGTCCCATCAATCAGTTGGTTTAACTCTCTTTGAGCCTTCTCCCGCTTTTTCTCTTCAACCTCCTTCTGACTGATATGGGATACATTGGCTTTGGCTTCCAGGACTGCTGTCTTGGGCCAGGACTGTTGTCTTGGGCCACTATCTTCGGAGGTAGTATACCATCAAAGGTGATAGCATTAACCCTAACCTTCTTCTTTTTATCCTTATTTGCCTTAGCCTTTTCTAGGATTACTGCTCAGAAATCTACCTTGTTCCAATTGGCATCACAGATGTGCCCATTGGCGTTTTTTTTTGACAATCCTTTCTTCAAGAGTTTTCTCTAACGTCGGACACCGGGTTAGAGTATGGCCTTCCTCGTCACAATAATAACATCAAAGGGGGTCATCTCTCCTTTGCCAATCTCGGTTCTTATTAGCCTTCCTCCAATCCCGGTAGCGCTCCTTCTTTCGTTTTTCCTTTCTCCTTCGCCTAGCGTCATCATCATCACTACTTTTACTCTCACTCTCACTCTCTTCCTTTTGCTTCTCCTTCTTCCTTTCTTCTTTATCTTCTTCGGCTCCAACTAGGGCTTGAGTTGCTGGGGCAGGAAGGGTTAACTTTTCAAAGCTACCAAACTTAACGAGGAGACCAAAGATCTCCTCGGCCTTCAAGTTTCCTCCCGTAACTGCCTCAACATTTCCCTCTCTTGCAGTAGTGATTGCGTTCATCTTTTCCGAAGACCACTTTCGGTTGGACACGGAAGGCAGCTCACAGACCATCTCAACCACTTCTTCCCACTTTAGAGGATGATGGGCAGCGCGACTTACCACACTCTTCCTTTCATCCTCTGCGAAGTTAGTCAGCAAGACATAACATTTTTGTGCCTCGTCTAGGAAGGGTACTCTCTGCACAACCCTCTCAAAATCCTCTAGGAATTGATCGAGGGTAGCGTATTTGGAGCGTCGTACATCCAACAAATTTTGCATGGTTGTTAGGACGTCATACTTGGCGTATTTTTCCAGCATCTTTTGTCTAACGCCCGTCCATGTTATCAGCCCTTGTGTCGTTTTTGTCACAGACACCCTCATCTTAGGTTCAACATACGCTAGCAGAGCTTTCAACTTCTGTTTATCCGACCAACCATGGCTCATACCGAAGACATCATAGTCCTCCAGGAACTCCCTAACCTTGGTTCCATCAAAGCAGGGTATGTTCTCTGGAGGTACCTTAGCTCTTGGAAGGTCTAGTCGGACATTCATGGTGTCCATCCCAGTCTTCATGGCCTCTATTCGGTTCAACATCTCTCGAAGAACTGCGGTAGTGGTCACTTCTCCGTCAGCAGCGGAGGAACTAGCACGGCTCTGCCGTGCGCTCGGTCCTTTGACCATTTTGTCTAGCTTACTGGTTAAGCTCCTATTTCTTCCTGAACTTTTTCTCTCTTAGGATTGCGTTTAAAATTGGTTTCCAGTTTTTGCCGTCAGTAAAACTTTCTGGAAGATGGGGCTCGGGAAACCTATCAAACACAATCGATGTTTATATTATTAATCCAGTTTCAAAAAGACTCACGATCTGTCCCTTTCTTCCTCAATGAAGGGACGTAGGGCCGGGTATCATACTCTCCAGTGTCGAGGAACTTCACTACAAGGATGTACGCCTTTCCAGGGGCATGCCTCTCCTCCAGGGATACACAACGCTCTATCTTGTAGGGAAAAGTTTCTCCACTGGTAAAAGGAACTAGGGCGTTCAGTGCTGGCGTGATTGTCGGGCAGTAGCCAGACATTCCGTAGTCCCTAGTGACTCCTATGATCCTTTTTTATCTTCGGTCCGTCTAATCCTTTGCAGTGCCTACTAAGCCTTCCAACCTGACCCTTTTTCCGCGCACCTCCATGTAATACGTCATGCCTCACTATCTCAAAGGGGTTGTCATCTTCAATTACTTTATCTAGCCATCCCTTACCAATGGTCACAGTCGCAATTGACATAGAGTTTTCACATTCCAGTATCATTGCTTTGGGCTGTCTTTAGTGCCTCCAGCCAAATTGTCCGCAGGGCACTGTCTAGATAAGATGGTCTCGTTTCTCGCATGTAGCATCACTCTCCTGCCATCCGAACTCTTGCAATCAGTAGATGCCTAATCTTAGTCTGGTCTGTAATTGCTCTAAAAGCAGTCGCTCGCATAAGCTTAAGGTAGTGCTTTACCATGCCAATCTCGTCGTGCCTACCTAACTTAGTGTCGCATCCTCTCACAGCCCCGATGACAGTCACTTGATGCTCGTCTAGATAGACCTCAAAGCAGAAGCTCTCTCCATCATCAGGAGTGTGGATATCGATCGACATAGCTCACCACACTCGATCAATACCGCGTTGAGGATTGGTCCCCAGTCCTTCCCGTTACAGAAGCTAGCACGCACAGGAGGGCTTGGGAATTTCTCAAACTCTCTAGGTAGGACACTCCACGTCACTTTCTTTCATTGTTGTTTCAACAACAACCTTTCATCTAAGATATACTCAGTAACAACGACCCAGCACGCCTCGTAATCAACCCCTCTCCTTGTTTCAGCAGATACATATGGCCTTACATCATACTCATTTGTATCAAGGAATCGGACTACAAGGACGTATAGAATCACTGAGTCGTGCTCACAAGTCACACATCGCTCAATGACGTATGGGAAAGCACCTCCAGCCGTGATCCTGGTCACCTCTATCGCTCTAGTTACAGCCGACATGGGCTGCCTACCAACTCTGCCTTCTCAACGCTGCATTGATGATTGGCTGCCAGTTCCTACCTTCGCAGAATCCTTTGGGCACTGGCGGGGTGGGAATCTTCTTGTAGACACTCGGCAACAGGCTCCAACTCGCCTTTATCCCTTGCTGTCTCAATTGATCCCTCTGCTTCGACACACCTCACAATAACATCCCAGTTGGTAAAGAATCTCGTGTCCTGGTCAGCCCCTTCTAGGATGTAGGGTCGAATATCATAATCATCAGTGTCAAGGAATCTAGAGACAAGCACATGCACAGTCGTTGTATTTTTCGCACAAGTAATACATTTGATAAACATATAGGGAAAAACACCACCACAGGTGACACGAGTTAGGGTTTCTAAGACATTATACTCTTCAGTCATCATCTGGTTTCTAGAAGATAGGTTCTAAGTCACTTCAGATAGACTTCTGCAAGAGGCCCTTCCTCTCACGGCTCCTCTAGCCGAAATTCTCTCTGACCTGATTCGGGCCTTGTACAAAATATGCTAGACTGCTGCCTAGTCACTGAATATTGTGACCAAGGTCCACTCCCAGGAACTCAAAATTTTTGAGTCCCCAACAACGGCGCCATTTTTGTTGCGCCCCCACAGCTTCCAGGGCCTCACATGCTTAAATTGGTCAGGATTTAAATTCCTAACTTGAGGATCAATACAGTTATTTAACTTTTGCTTTATAAAAGAACGTCTCTGAGGATCGCTCCCTCTTTTTCTGTGGATATGGACTTCTGTATGGTGCTTTTGCTGGCAGGTCAGCTGGTTGAACTCCATAAGGGAATGGCAAGAGGAGTTCGTGGGAAATATGACTGCAAGGGAGTTTGTTGACACCATCATGGGTGATCTTCTGGGCAGCAGGGTGTTTGTCTTCACTCCTGAAGGAGAGGTTTGTATGCCCTCAGTAGGACTTTCTCCATCATTCTGTCGAGTTGGGTCTATGTGTTGTGTTCTTTTTTGTTTTGTTTTGAATGTGTTCTTTTTCCTTCCCCTTATCTGGCGCAAACTCAAAATCTTCAGCAGTCATTTTTTGCACATTGCTTTTCGTATTTCCTGGAGATTCGTCCTTTCTTCTCTCTTTCCTGCAGCTGTAGGTACATTGCTTTGCGGGATGTTGATAAGGTGCAAGTTATGACTCTTATGAATATGTCCATATCTAGCTTGAGTGGGAAACCCAAACAATAACACAAAGCCGATGAAGAAAACATGCACAGACCCAATCAATGGGTGAGTTGTCATTTGTTTCTGGGCCATCGCTATGCATCTGATTGGTACAAAAGACTTAAGTTTATCACCCACAGGCGCCTATTCGTACGTGGAGCTCGGCCATCTGATCTCGTGACTGGCTGCTGAAAATGAAAGTTTTGTGGCGCAACTTCTGTGCTTTTCGAACATATCGCTATGACACAGGAAGGTATCTGGTGCTTTCTTTGCTTTCCTGTGATGTGTGTTGTTTTGTGGACAAGTAGTGCTTGCTGTGTTGACACATTGCGCGTGCTTTGTTTCGTTTTTAGTTTTCTAGTGCCTCTGACACTGTCAGACCACCTAATACATCTGATAAGCAAGGCAAAATCTCCACTCATTTTTGTGTTCAGACTCTTCAGAAAAATGTGTGGTACGCTGTTTTTTTTTTTTTTTTTTTTTTTTTTTTTTTTTTTTTTTTTTTTTTTTTTTTTTCGTCTTTGGGTTCTCATTCTGGTAGTGCCCAGTGGGGGTTAGAACCGGATGCGGTGCTTTGCTTTTTTCTTTGTCAACCATGCCACATGTTGTTTGTAGGGTGTTGCAAGCAGGGAAATCCATGCAGAGGGGAAAAACACGAGGCACAGCACCACTGTTACATGCTGCGCCTGCAACAGGCTGCACGGCCTCCTTTCAGGCCCGTGACGTTTTCAGGCCAAAAGCCTGAAAACAAGGGTGCACAGGCCCCGTGTTGTTTCAGCCTGAAAGCCTGAAAACAAGGGCCTACAGGCCCTGTGTCGTTTCAGGCTAAATCAAGGCCTTCCCGGCCCTGAGTGTTTTCAGCCTGAAACTGAGGGCCATTTTCAGGCCCTCAGGCAACAGACCAGGGTTTTAGCACAGGCCATTTCGGGCCTGTTTTCAAGACAACCCCTGGTTGAGCTTCAACGCCAGGGTCTGGCACATTTCGGCACTGGCAAGAGCAGCCTCCTGGACGGGCCAGCACTATATAGGACTGGCCCGCCCTGCAGGCCGGCAGGTAGTTCCTAGGTACTTCCCAGGCACTTCATGTGCAGTTCAGGAGGCAGGAGGTAGTCTTCAGGATTCGGCAGCAGCACTCTGGAGGAGCGCTGCAGGAGTAGTTGTAGCGCTAGCAGTAGTCTTCAGCGCTGGGCGCTACCGGTAGTAGCGTTAGCAGTAGTCTTCAGCGCTGGGCCCCATAGGAGCTAGAGCAGTACGAGAGAGAGAGAGAGATTGGGCGGAGGCCAGAGAGACTTACCTGCAGCGCAATAGCTCCAGCTTCGTCTTCGAGGTACCTGCAGCACAGCGCCA